CGCCCGGGCCAAATTTAGGCACTCAACCGGACCCCTCAAACGCAGCCCAAACGTCTGGCACCCCTCATATCCAGCCCACATGTGGGACGGAATACAGGGAGGTCCTGACGTGGCGGCCACGTAGGATCCGGCCCACTCTGGCCCACCCCCATCCAACTAAAACTCCAACTGGACCAAACCCTAGGCACTAGACACTTCCACTCTCCTCACAGTCCCTCGTCCGCTTCACTTCCCCGTCCTCTTCCCTTCCCTCGCCGGAATTTGGCTGGATCCGGCAGCGGCTCCTCATTTGCCGACGACCCCGTGGATTGGGACGCCCATGGAGTCGTACGAGGAGCTCACAATCCGTGTGGCCCCCGATCTATGAACTATGCTATGTTGATTTGGGGGTTCTGATATGAGGGGGGCAGCTGCGGACGCGGACAAATGAGGGATGATTGGGTCTCCAAGTTCTTGACAAAAAGAAATATAGTTATACTCTTCAAGTTAAGTTTCAAAGCATTTCAGTTAAGAGTAAATGAGAAGTTGAATGAAATATTGCAGTTTCACTTTAAGATGTACAAACCCAGTTTTAAGGAAAATATCAGTCATGATATGCACATGAATTCACTTTAGTTACGGTTGAATACTCAGCTCTGCTGAAGACATTTCAATGTCTTCTGAATAAGAAGAAAAAAACATCTACAAAGAAATTCTGGACTGTGCCTCTACTTACACCTAAACAATTAATAAACCTAGTAAAAGCCCTTCAGGAAATGCTTTTAGAATACATGACAAATCTTTATCTAGATATTTTATCCATTCTGTATTTCCTGTTAGTGCATTTGTTCATATAGCTGACCCCCTTCATGCAATACTAGAACAACGTAGCCTGGGCTTACTACAATTTAAGGCATTAAAAATACAATGCCGGGTAACCAGAAACCGTGCGATTGGCCTGTCCCCTGTGACATAATGGTTGGGGGGGAACAGAACACCAAAACAGATCCCTCTCCGGTGAGTA